ATTATAAACATATTAACATATATCAGGACAGAAAAGTCAAGAAGAAGCTCAAAACCTCTTAGGTTGTTTTCTCACTGAAATTCTTCATCTGGCAATTGATGTAGTTGTAACTCAAAGCCTGAGCTGCGTTTGTATAAGCTCATTAATATTGTGACTCACAGACATCAAGGCTGTCTATCAAACTGCTTGTGTGGAGACCAAGACAAAAACCTTGGTTCTGAGTGAGTGGTCAGGCATTCATGGGCAGTCCTCTTTCTGTCTCTTATTCATTTTACATTTCACACAGGAAGAAAAGCACACAGCACTTGGTTTTGTGAACCTTTTATATTTCATTTGATATAATGTCCTCTAGGTTCATCCTTGCTGATTCCAATGTCAGTGTCTCTTTCTTCTCATAGTTTAATAGTGGAAGAGTCTTTACTAGAGATGAGTGATTGGGTGATGAGGAAGAGGATTTGGGAGTTGGGAAGATGTTGGTCAAAGGACACAAAATTACAAATAGAAAAAAGAAATAGATGGCCAAAAAGTGTTAGGAAGAAGGACATTAAATTTTCTTACCACTGGCCGGGTGGTGGTGGCACACACCTTTAACCCCAGCACTCGGGAGGCAGAGGCAGGCAGATCTCTGTGAGTTCGAGGCTAGGCTGGACCAACAGCCTCCAAAACAATACAGAGAAACCCTGTCTCGAAAAACAAAAAAACAAAACAAAAAAAATTTCTTACCACAAAAATGGTAGCAATATGAAGCAATGTGTGTTTTAATTAGTTAAATCTACTCATTTCAAAATGCATGTATATCATATTGTAAAACAGAAACAGAGTTGTGTATGTCAATTGAAAGTGAATAAATATATGTGGAAAAATATTAAGTAGACAACTAATTTAGGAAAAATAAGGACAAATTCTGAATTCATTAATTTATTAAATAATCAACAATTATTTGAAAGAAAAATAATCATCATTGGACCATGTTGATTATGCCACATATAGGTATATGGAAAATTCTAAATAAAGCCACATAATTCTAAAATTGAGGGGAAAAAAGGTAATACATGATCATGACCAATTCGTACAACCATTTATAATTCCTTTAAATTCATAAGTCATTTCAACTGAACAGACTACATTTAACGTGCAATGGATCATCAGAAGACTCTTACTAGAAAAGTCCATCAGGGTTAGAAAATGACTCAATGAAAATGGAAACTAAGCTGGGAAAATAATTTAGGGATACTGGCTAGGGTGTAAAATTTAAATTCTACCCTAAGATTGAAAAACCTGATGTTGAAGAACATAGAAGATAATACTTGAACCAACTACTCAAATTATTAACAAACAGCCATTGTAATGACTTAAATAAGTCAGAGAAGGAGGAAAAAAATCAACGAGTCCTACTTTTGAGTGACTGGCTATTGTTAGATTCATGGAGTGAGGGAACTACAGGTTTTCATTGTGTACCCACAGGTGAACGCATCAGATTTCAAACCCAGGTCACACAAACAGCTTTAGTTCATCTCAGGGAATCTCAAAACAAAATGAATAGACAAGTACATAGGACTGGTAGGAAAGGAATGAGGGTGTTTGCTGTGCTTGTGTACCGGTACAAAACTGCTTAAAAATCAACTTAACCAATTTTAAACATTCTGAATATAATATAGATGAATATAATCAAAACATGTTGCATGCAACTCTCAAAGAACAACAACAAAAAACTAAGGTGGAGACATAAAAGAATAGTCCATGGAAACTGTAAGAAGGGCTGACACTTATAAACTGAACATCTCAGATAGTGTGATGTCTAGAGACAGAAGTAGGAGTGTAGAACAGGGGGAATCAGAAGGAGCATCCAGATTTACAGTTCCATTGTTTAGGGTACAGATAATGACAAATCAGCCAAATCCAAATTCTTGTTGACACAGCCACAGGTGTGTGAAACTCAGAAAGTGTAGATATGAGTGGATGTATAATTTATAGTACATGTTACTGAAAAGAGCTTCTCTGGAAGAAGAAAAGGGAAATTTACATATAATTCTACCAAATAAATACAAAATTATAGGTAAGGCAAGGGAAGTGGTTAGTCCAAGATAGTATAGACAGATGCTATTCTTTTTAGAAAATGGAGAAAAAATGAAGAGTAAAAAAGAATATGCTATGGTATCAGGCATATATTTATGCTGTAACTTACCAAGTCATTCAGTGGTAACCTAAGATCAGATAGGATGTAAACAAAGGGTCGAAATCTGTATTTATCTGATAGTGTTATAATAGGATATAAGAAATACTACCCCAATCCATGATAATCTGGTTTCTAAGTTACATAAATATGATTCTTTAGGATTTCTTAATGAACAAATGAGGCAACACAATAGAAGTTGGATCTACAAACAAATAGAAAGACATAACATCAAGTGCAGAATATTCAAATTTATAAGTAAACAATGATGCATATCATAAGCAATAGGTGCACATTTCCACTCTAGAGAGGAAAAAAAAATCTAGAATCTAACAAAATGATTCTAGGTTTATACAAAGTTCTGGCTGACAACCAAAGCAGTGTATCGGAGCTACTCTGTGCCATATTGTTCACTGACTCAAAATATATGTAACAAAAAACATGAATGGTAGACACATAGCGAATTATACTGGACTTGAACAGTATGAAATAGTTCAACGTAACACATAGTTGAGGCTTTTGTGGTTTTTTTAGGCATAAAGCGTACACAAACAAAAATTATGAAGTAGTAGTACTAAAAGCTATCCAAATGTTGGAAAAAATCCGAACCAAAAGGTTCAGTAAGGCATAAAAATAACAAACCCTAAAAGTGTTACGTTTATCTCAATAATAACTTATTTTGTAAAACACATGTGTGAAAACCAGCAAAAATGGTATTTTTCTTAATGCTAAGAAGGTCCTTTAGAAGTCTAAAAGGTTCTGTTCAACAATTTGTTTTAAAAAACATGCAATATAGAAATAATAATGCAATAACAAAGGTAACCGACATTATCAAAATTGCAAGGCAAGAACAATGCAAAACATCTTCCTAATGTGTGCTGAGCAGGCAAATTTGGGGATCTCCTGAAACCCCTGTAAATGTGAAAGAAGAGGAGGACTGATGCCACAAAACTGTCGCCTGACCTCCACAGGCATGATGTCACCCACACATTCGCACATATATAGTGCACACACACAATAATGGTAATATTTTAAAAGCTCAACTTCATGAATAATTGAAAACATACTCAAGACAGAATAAAAATCCAACCATTGATGAAACACAAATATTCACAGAAATAAAGTTAGAAACTGTCATGACAATTTTTCTCTTTTCTGTGGTAAACAGAATCAAGCATAAGTTCTCTTTAATGCTATGCAAGTACTCTGTACATCACCATACACTCTTTATAACTCATGCAATGATATACTTAATTTAAGTAACTAATCTTAAATATATAGACTCAGAAACATGGGAAATCTGAAATAAGAACTATTTATTGTCTATAGATTAAAAGTAATAGGCAGGTAAAATTCAGACGTGAAGTAAAAATATAAGATCAAAAAGAGATTTTGTAACAGTCAGAGGGTGTAGTCCTGCATTCACAAAACTGGTCTGATAGCCGTAATATCAGACCTTGGCAATCAAAGGAACTGTCATTAATATAAGTTAGTCAAAAATAATACAGGATATATATAACTTGAAACTATTACCAATTTATTTGATGTTGACGATCAAAAATATTTATTGAGACAGAATACATCATCTTTGGAAAATTAAAGAAAATATTAACTATCAAAACCATAAGCCACATCATAAAACAAATATCAATACTTTGTTGACATTAAACTCATATAATATGGCAATAGAAAGAGATGGATAAACAGACGTTAAACACTCATCACATTAGCATGAGGACTCTAAATCTGTATCTCTAACAACCTATGCAAAATTAGAAAAGATAACCACATCTCCTCTCACCTTTACTCCAAATCCTAGCACATGTATACACACGCACACACACCACTTAAAAAAGGATTTAAAATCATACAATGTGTTCTCTTAGCCAATGAAATTAAAATATAAATTAAGATAATAACATCCTAAAGTCTCCAAATAATTGGAAAGCAAGAACATTCCCCACAAGTAGCCATGAATCAAAGAATTTGTTAAATAAGTTTTAAATGTTTCAAAATAAGCAAAAATTTAAAATTAAAGAAAAATAAAAGCTTGACTGCCTGTAGAACAAGAAAACAAAATGGAAAAAATACAAAAAAAATGGAAATTTTAAAGAAAATTCAAGAATGCTAAAGAAGTGTCCTTAAGAAGCAATGAAAAGAGCAAACTCAGCTCAAAGTATAAAATGAAAAGTAAATGATCACAAGAGCTGACATGTAAACATAGAATACACAAAAAGAAGCTTTCGTCAGATCTCCACCATCATGTCCTGAGTGGAAAGCAAGCCATCAAGCTGGTCACAATTACCAAAATGCTGGGCAGGACCAGGTCTCAGGGACACCACGTGCAGGTGCACAAGGGCCGTGGGGGACTTGTGGACAACACTGGCCACACTGTCACGTGCCCTATGAAATGCTCAGTGTGAAGCTGCCCACACTGTCATGTGGCCTATGAAATGCTGGGAGTGACCCTGCCCACACTGTCATGTGACCTATGCAATGCTGAGAGTGACCCTGCCCACACTGTCACATGACCTATGCAATGCTGAGAGTGACGCTGCCCACACTGTCACGTGACCTATGCAATGCTGGGAGTGACACTGCCCACACTGTCACGTGACCTATGCAATGCTGAGAGTGACACTGCCCACACTGTCACGTGACCTATGAAATGGTGGGAGTGACGCCGCACACACTGTCACGGGACATATTAAATGCAGAGAGTGGCGCTGCCCACACTGTCACGTGACATATTAAATGCTGAGAGTGGCGCTGCCCACACTGTCACGTGACATATGAAATGCTGAGAGTGAAAAGATGATGGACTCACCCTTTGTAGCCAGAGAGACTCCAGGCTGTGCTGAGCTTGCTGCTGGCTCCTGGGTACCCACCACTTAGTCAACAGGATTCCCTGCAATTGTTACAAAATAATGTGTTTGGATGGCATGTTTTTAAAAAGATGAAGAAATGAAACAGATCATCGGTTATAAAATGTTGAAGGGTCACTACAACAGCTGTTGCAAAGATTGAACACTTTCACACAACATGAAACTTGCAGAAAATGGACATGATATTTAGAAAAAACAAGTCATCAAAACAAATCATCAAACTGACACAAGAGGAAATAGAAAACCTACCTATTTCATACATGTTATAGAGAACGTTTTGTTTACTTTTTTTCTTTCTGTATGCCCAGAGGTCAAACTCAGGGCTTTGCACATGGTTAAGCAAACCTTATAACCAGTGAGCAATCCCAGCCCTGTAAAATACTTCTGTGAGTAAAGAATTCCTATAGTAAAAGTATCAAGCAAGGCAAAAGGATTAAAAATGTAAATTCCATTCAGAACACAGCAAAGAAACACAGATATTACACAGTAACGACCTCAAGATATTAAAAAGGAAACATTTCCTCTAGCTTGTTTGATGGTTGGTTTAAAGAATGGCTTCATGGCCCAGTCATGCATGCCTGACTTGGAACTCACAAGAATGGCAGACTGACCCTGAGTCATGGGTCTGACACTTTTGACAAGTATCCCTCATCTTCTCAGGTTCTGGGGCTACTGAAATACGTCACCATGCCAAGTTTATTCTACTTATGGTCACATTCATAATGCCAAAACAAAAGTACATTGTGTTAAGGCAAACATATGTGCAAGTATTAAATATATTTATATAACCAAAAACATAGAAAAAGGATAAATATTGCACAGGAAATTGAGACTGATAGAGAAGTGGGAAGGTAGCTCAAACTAAAACAATTATCACTTAGTGACATTTACCTCATCAAAAGAATTTTAGAAAGCACATTTATGTCAACTATCTCAGGAAAACAATTTAATAATAACTGTCAGCATACTGCCAGAAGAATGGCACATAGTGGAAACTACTTTGGGGAGCTGTGAGAGAGGCTCCAGATAAAAAGTCAAAGGGCTTTTACCTCAAATGAATTTTGTTCCCCGGATTGTTTTTGGACAATGAAAAAAGTCAAATTATTTTTACTCACAAATATTATGAAAATTCAAGGTAGTAAATTACAAAAATGCTACAGCTAGTAAATGATATAATAAAAATTCAAAATTAGATGTCACTTTTTAAAAATAAATATTTAGTAATAATTAGAAAAATCTGGTGTGGGATGAGGGGAGGGAGAGGGAGCTGGGATTGACATGTGAAGCAACCTTGTCTCTAATTTAAATTTAAAAGACAAAGAAAATAATTTACTTATTCCTTTTTTTGCAAAAATATTTATCCACTATGTTAATCCATCAATTTATCATTAAAAAATTCATGCTACTGCAAAAAAAACAAAAAGGTATTAGAAAATCATCAAAACAATTCTTCTTAATAAATAAATTTATATAATACTTGGAAATTAATTTGGGGGTTGGAATTTAGTATAGCAAACAAACTAACAAAGATAAGGGTAGATATGAACCCTTGTATTATGTTGATGGGAATGTAAATTTATCCAGCAAATACAAAAATTTGTATGGAGGTGGTTCATCAGAAAATTTAATACAGAATGACTCCATGATCTAGATATACCATTCCTGAACACATGTAATCAATCTTAATATCCATCAAGTATAAGTAGATATTGAGTAATTCCACAATATTAAAAAATGGCATATATATATGCATAAAACAACTTTAGTCAACCATAATAAAAGAACAAAATTATGTCATTTGCAGAAATATGGCTATACCAGAGAGCATTGTATTGAGCAAAATAAATCAGACTAATAAATATAAGTATTGAATATTTTCTCTCATACATAGAATTAAAGTAAAAAGGACAAGAAATTAAGAGGGGGACAATTGAGTACATGAAAAGAAAGGGGAGGAAGAAAAGGCAGATTGAAAAAGACTACTACTTCACCAGGTGTGGTGGCTTAAGACTTTAAACCCAGAAATTGGGAGATAAAGGCAGGCAGATCTTTGGGAGTTCACGACCAGCCTGGTCTGCAAAGCAAATTCCAGGACAGCTAGAGCTACACAGTGAGACCCTGTCTCAAAGAGAAAAAAAAGGAATATGCATTTAACTATGTTTATAGCATGTTATATGCACATACGAACACGTCATTTTGAAACTAATGACACGAAAATAAAAATGTTCAAAAGAAAGCTTTCAAGAAGATGAAATCAATTCAATGAAAGCAATACAGGTTTCTATATTAATTTTCTCTAAGTATTAAAAAAAACAAAGGACAAAAGATAAGTCACAAATGGAGTGAAAGACTCAGTGGTGGTCAATTCTTACCTATTTGGTCCATGAATATTTAGCCACCAAAATCATCATCTTAACAAAATTATGATATAATTGGCAAGTTTTTGTAAAATTTATAAGAAAACCCAAAACCCTAATGGTGTCTTTTCTGAATTGGAGAGTTTGCACTGCCTTGTTTTAGGTTACAACTAAAATCTGTTGTAACCATCAGTTTCTGCCAGCCTGAGGAGAGTCAGACAGATTTAGGAAAACTCAAGGAAAGCTATAGGAACACATTTGCATTTAGAAAATGCTCCCACCTTTTTTTCAGATTGAAAATTTCAAAATTTCTTCCCGATAGTTATTTCATGCAACCTATGAACAGAACTGTGAAGAAACTTTGATTTAGATCCTGTGTAAATCAAATCAAGGTTACAGATTTATTTTTTATAATTTTCTTTATTTTGACATCATTTTGCCTTTCATTTCCTCACTCCAAAAACTTTCTTTACTTTTTCAGAGTCATGGCTCCTTTATTTATTAATTGTTGTTACACACACACACACACACATACACACACATTCCTAAACACATAAATGCAACCTTATCGGTCTGTATTAGGTTACCTCTATGTATATGTTCAGGTTTCAAGGCTGACTACTTAATATTAGAAGACAAACTATTGTGTTCTTCCCCTGGAAACAGTCTCAGCATTCCTCAGCTGCTTGTTGTGGGAACTCACACAGCCTGTATCTTTTGAGGCATTATCCCCTTCTGAGCATGTTCTCAGATGCTACCTGTGAACTGAGAAGTAGGGAGAAGAGGCATGTTCTCTGTCTCTGTCTGTGATCGGGCATCAGATCACAGCTTCCAGGACAGAAGACCACAGAGGTTCTCTACCTTATTCATCATTCTTGAGTGACTTCCCAATAAATATCTATCTCCCTTTATTTCAGGCTCTCATACAATCCTCTTTTACAGCCTGTAGTTCTTTGTGTGGATCTGAGGCCTGGTAGGCTTTCCCAAATCCACTTATCGTGTCTAAAGTGTTTGTTTGCTATTGGTCAGCGTGGTTTTAAGCAGTCATGTTGGTTGTAGTTTATGGATATAAATTATCCCTTCTGAAGACAAAATCTCACTCTCAAACCCACTGATCCTCCAACGCTCTCAGTCTTTCCTCCCTCTCTTCAGCAATGTTTCCCAGGCCTTAGGTGTGGAAGTGTATTGGGACCAGTCTCCACAACTCCAAGTATTATTAGTTAGGGTTTTATAAAATTGTCTTCATTTGTCAAAAAAAGAAGTTTCCTTGATGAGGATTGAGGACTACATTTATCTGTGAGTGTAAGAAAAATTTTCATAATGCAGTTAGGAATTATATTGTTTTAATGGTGTGGTGGCTGTTGGTTCTCCTCCAAGATCTCTAACTTTGCTAGTCCCAAGCAGTTGACTAGGTTTCCAGCACCAGACATGACTGCTCTACAGTTAGAGAGCTGTTGACTACCCCCACGCTATGTGTACCATTAATGTATTGTACCCTCGGGGTTATCCTGTCAAGCTTGTTGTTGTTACTCATAGGTGTGACTCCTCTTTGGACCTCCACTCCAAATAAATTCAGTGTGAAAAGTACGTTTAACGATTGTGTCCAGGACTAAGAATATGAACTACATAGAAACTGGGATGCAAATACAAGACAAAAACCTGATGCCACTAGAAACAGAAAGAAATATCATCCTAACTTTGGACAGCCACAGTTTTCTTATATAGAAAATAGAATAAAGAATCAATTAATGAAATGAAGTTCATCACAAGTGTCCAAATTCTGCTCATCAAAATAAATCATTACCAAATGAATGATGAGCGAAGGAGAGCCATGTTTATATAGCTCGCATTTTTAAAAGACCCTGTCCTAGTGTATAGAATTTCAACAACTAACTAATAAAGACCGAGTCAGTTTTAAAATGAATAAAACATGAAATAGAAATTTTACAAAACGAGATGCAAGAATGAATAACAATGACTGAATCAATAAATCCCAGACATCATTAGACATCAGGGAAGATCTAATGAAATGTAATAAAAATGTCCCTGCATTTTCCAGTATTGAAAGCCCTTGAGTGTGGTGAGAATGACGAGGAACTGGAGCTATTGTTATTGCTGTTGAACATGAAACTTGTAGAACACCATTAGGAAACTAGATAGAAGCTCCCTAGAGTCAAACACAAGCTGCCTTGTACCCTGTAGTTTCTTTCACCCCCTGCCCTTCACCAGAGAGCAACTGAGCTGATACTGATGATGAAGACAGATGTGAAACCATTCCTGGCATGTCCATCCATAAAACCCAAAAGCTGTGTGTACTATGCACGAGCAAACAAGTCGTGTGCTAGTCAAACAACGAACTGCTTCTCAGCAACAGTGTTTGCAACTACTCAGGCACAAGAGTGAGGAACCACATGAGTCCATGTGCGTGACGCTCTAGACCTGCAAACTAAACTGTGGCCACACTGATGATGAGTTATCACAGCCAACTAGACTGAACTGAAATCCGGCTGGGGAGCACAACTCAGAGTGACTAGCAGGATATTTCCACTAAAAGATTGAAGATACATGCCAGGTTCAGGTGGCACCAACTCATGTCTCCAATCCAAGACCAAACAAAACGAGGAAGCAATCTGGGCCCCAGCATTCAACTCTTTCTGCTTACCCGG